CAGTCACAGGCTTCCAAGCCAAAAAGTCTGAGTCTGGTTGCCTCTTAGCCTTTTGGCTAAGATGTAGCGTTAAGTCTAAACCCCTCAGCTGCACCACGTATTTTGAAGGGGCCATTTAAGGTTTATGTAGTCATTCAAGTATTTACAGCACAGTGTTGTTGTCCCTGAGGATACAATGGTGAATCTGCCATCTAGCAGAAATTCTGTGCCACTGGTTCACGGACAACAGATTTCTGAAATAAGAGGCACAGGTAAAGAAAGAGTGCTTAACAGGCTCAGTGAGTTGCTGTAAGTACTAACCGGTGTGTTAACACTGTATGGGCAAAGCACCAGAAAGCTAGCTGAGAGATTCTCAAGTACAAAAGGGGTGTGTACTAGAATAACCCAGGGTTTATAAGACCCATCTACAGATCCCTGAGACACAAGCGATCTGCACTGGCTTGATAAACTGGACATGGGGGTTAAGCCTCACATACTTCTACAACTAGATACAAGATGCTTTCAGAGACATCTTAGCTCATCTGTAGCTCTGATGATTTTCCACTTTTGAAAATATTTCCTCAGCCGGGCGGTGGTGGTGCACGCCTTTAGTCCCAGCACTTGGGAGGCAGAGGCAGGCGGATTTCTGAGTTCGAGGCCAGCCTGGTCTACAGAGTGAGTTCCAGGACAGCCCAGGCTGAGAAACCCTGTCTCGAAAAACCAAAAAAAAAGAAAATATTTCCTCAAAAGAATACTGTAACTGTAGAGACAGAGGTGTACGTCATCATCAAACTCCAACCAGGAAACTTTAAATATCTAAGTTATCTTCTGAAAGACTCAAAGACAACAACCCAAGGGAGGAGTTAAAAAAAAAAAAGAACTAAATTCAAGGACTGGTAGCAGTGCCAGAAGCTACACATTACCTCACTTATCAGAACAATCCTGCAGGCTAGTAAATCTTCCAAACAGCAAATCACCTGGGTGTGGTGGCACGCACGTATGTAAACCCAGTAAAGCCACCAGGATTCCTACAGCCTGTCTCAAACAAGCAAACTAAACAAACCTGGCTGGAGACATGGCCCAGTGGTTAGCAAGGGGTCAGAGGTCAGTTCTTAGGACCTACATTAGGTGGCTCACGAGGCTTGTAAGGGTATCTATCTGACACTTTTTTTTTTTTATGTTTTTGTTGTTGTTTTCGAGACAGGGTTTGTCTGTGTAGCCCTGGCTGTCCTGGAACTCACTCTGTAGACCAGGCTAGCCTCGAACTCTCCAACTCAGAGATCCGCCTGCCTCTGCCTCCCAAGTGCTGGGATTAAAGGCATGCGCCACCACCGCCCGGCTCTGACACTCTTTTTAACAAAAAAACAAAAAAAAAATCCACAGAGCAAATCAAGTGACCTGCTGAGCAGTACAAATTAATCTCCTTCTGTGTGTTACACAGGGTAAAATCCTTTCCAAGGTTCTGATGTACGAAATGTCACAGTGGGATCCTAGCGGAGAACCAACAGACTTTCCTGTCCCATACACACCCAGGCAAGTAACTCAAAAGCCCTATGACCATATTCCAAATTACCAAGTGGGTGGAAAGCAAAGTCTTTCCCAAAGGACGCCAGAGTGCCAAGCCTTACCTACTCAACAACACAAGCAGGAGAACTGTGTGCACTGAGGGTCAAATAACTCCAGCCCCTGACTGATCACTCTTGAGCCATCCTCCCAAGTTCCAGCCTGTAGCACTTAAGACTGTACTGGTTCCACCCCAAGGGTTAAGTTACATCAGAGCCAGGAGCATGTCCATTTCTTTACATTACTATAGCCTCAATACCCTGTGCATACAGATTTTATAAATGTACGCCCGAGCAACGAATCAATGATCCTGCAAGCTGTCTCTTCTCATCAGCAGAAGGGAGGGATCAAACGATTTTCGGGGACTTATGGGAGAAGGAAACGGGATGTTAAGTAACACGGTGTTCAAGACATAGTCGGCCTCCAAAAAACATTCCACCTTCCCAAACCATTAGGAATAGGGGCAAATATGCACTGGATCAGTAACGGAAAACAGGCCCACTGGGACTAGAGACCCAGACAAGGGCCAGAGAAACAAGGCTGTCACCGTTGAAAACCCAGAGGACAGTCGGGGCAATGTAGGGAAAGAGATGGAAGAGAAGCATTCAGGCTGCAATTGTGGCCCAGGAACGGTGCATGTCGACAGGGCAGAGGAGAGGAGACAGGCCAGCGCTTGGGCATGAAGGAAAAGGTGGTAGCCTCGGGACAAGGGGAGGGAGAGGAGTTCTGGCCTGGCACGACAAGGGGACTGGAAAGGAGTTCACTGCAGACGGGACCTGGGGAAGGGAAAGGCGATTGGGCCCCGCGAGCGGGCATGTGGGAAGGTGGCCACGGACCCTGACAGTCCGGAAGAATGGAGAGCAGGACAGGCCACGGGCCGGAGCGAAGAGGGGCGAAGGGCAGAAGAGGAAGCGCGCCCGCCGGCCTCTGTCGTCCTTACCAGCTGGCAGCGCTTCTTCCGGTGACCCGAGCGGACCTTGGACCGACCCAGACACCTGGCCGCGGAAGGATCCGGACCCTGGAGACAGAGTTCTCGCGATACTACGGCCTCTCTACCACGCCTCTCGTTAGTGTTCTGACAGTTTCGCGAGATTTCCTTCCGCGCCTGCGCAAAGCCTCTTTAGGGCTCAACGTGGAGGCACTAATAATCCTCCCTGCCCTTAATCTGGATCGTTTTCATGCCTGTCACTAAGTCAATTAAATATTTTGAAGATGCTCTAGAGAAATATGCACGATGAGCCTCTCACACTAAATGCTCTCAGAAAGTAGATTTTATTTAACTTCAACTTTCTTTCTTTCTTTTTTGTTTTTTCGAGTCAGGGTTTCTCTGTGTAGTCCTGGCTGTCCTGGAACTCACTCTGTAGACCAGGCTAGCCTCGAACTCTCGAACTCAGAAATCCGCCTGCCTCTGCCTCCCAAGTGCTGGGATTAAAGGCGTGAGCCACCAACGCCCGGCTAACTATAACTTTCATATGCAAGAATACATGTCAGAAGACACAGAAGGCCATATATTACATGTCTATTCAAATCAAGGGAAATCCTGTTTTTCAAAAACATTTTGAATTGACCCACACTAACTGTACATATCTATGAGGTACAGTGTTAACTTTCAATGCGTTTAAACAATCTGTGAGGACTAGATGTGGGTAATTGATATATTTATTATTTCTCTGTATTGATAATATAGAAAATCCTCTCAACTAATTATTTTTGAAATAGTTAATCTGGGTGTGGTGTCACCCGGCTGCAATCCTAGCATTGGGAGGAGGAAGATGGAGGATGGGTGTTCAAGGCCAGCCTCCACTACTGAGAGTTTGAGAGAAAAGGGAGGCAGAGATATCAGATGATTATTCTCAGTATAGTCCTGCAGTGCTGTAGAATATTAGCTACCATGTCTCCTACCGAACTCTACCCTGGTTAGTAGGATGGTCAAATTCTCAAGGACAGACAAGAAAATGGCTGCATAGCAGGCTGGAGAGAAGACGGAGCGGAGTGTTAATGTTATTTAATAAGTTTCCTTATGAGGGGACATGAGAGATGGCTCTGCAGTTAAAAGCACTTACTGTTCTTGCAGAGGACCCAGTTTTGGTTCCCAGCACCTACATGATGGCTCACAACCATCCCATAACCCCTGGTTCCAAAGCCTCTGACCTCCAAGGGCACCAGGCATGCACATGGTACAAGTGTATATACAAAGGCAAAAAGTCATGCAAATAAATAAATAAAATCTTTTTCTTTTGGGGTCTGTGGTGGTTTGAATAAGAATGTCCCTCTTGTTGGTGTCGATGTGGCTTTTGAGGAGGAAGTATGTCACTGGGGGTTGGCTTTGAGGCTTCAGAAGACCAAGCCAGGCCCAGAGGCTTACTCTTTCTTCCCATTGCCTACGGATCTGGATGTAGTGCTCTGAGCTACTTCTGCCAGCCGTGATGATAATGGACTAAGCCTCTGAAACTGTAAAGAAGCCCAACTAAACACTTCCTTTTATAAGAGTTGCCATGGTCATAGAGTCCCTTCATGGCAATAAAACAGTAATTAAGACAAGGCTGATGCCGGGCGGTGGTGCTGCACACCTTTAATCCCAGCACTTGGGAGGCAGAGGCAGGCAGATTTCTGAGTTCGAGGCCAGCCTGGTCTACAGAGTGAGTTCCAGGACAGCCAGAGCTATACAGAGAAACCCTGTCTCGAAAAAACAAGACAACAACAACAACAACAAAGACAAGGCTGATGAACTTTATAACTTAGGGGAAAAAAACATGCTATATTTTTTTTAAAAAATATTGAGTAAATAAATGTCAGAATTAATGTTACAATTTCAAGTCAGTGTATTTTAGGTGATCTGTATGCCACACATAACTGACCCTAGTCCTACCCACAGAAGTCTGGCCTCTGAGTTCCCTGTCAGACCTTGTGAGGTCCAGAGAGCCCCTTCTCAGGTGTCTCTAACCTGTTCTAACCTTATGCAAACACAAGGTGGGTGAGGACTCCATAAAGAAGGGGTACCTAAGTAAATGGAAGGAAGGATAAATGAGAGGACCAGGGACAGAGAAGAAGTCTGGTTTCATCATGAACACACATGCTTTTTCCCAGTGTACACCAGAAACAGAATGCAGGCAGAAGAGCCTGACGTAGCAGAAGTGCTGGAGGCGGACATGGGCCCCATAGAAAAGCACACGGGCAGGAAGCCCATGGGAGCACAGGGAAGATGCTGTAACTGGTACCTGGTATTGTTGGGTTGATTCGTTTGGTTGTATAACATGCATTAAGTTAATACAAATATGATTGGCAAACTTATTTATTTGTTTATTTATTTATTTATTTATTTGAGTTTTTGGAGACATCCTGCCTCTGCCTTCTGAGTGCTGGGATTATAGGTCACCTCCTTTCAAGCATATAATTGGTAAATTTAACTTATACATGGTACAAGTGTAGCTCCACTTTTGGGCCCACAAGAAGCACATTTACATTGTCCAGCTCTTGACTTGACAGGTCTTTCCTGGGGTCGTCCGTTCCACCACACTATAGGTGCAGTTCTCTGGATGGAATTGTTTGGAACACTTCTCTTTGTCGTACTTCACAGGCTTAGCAATACTGTCAATGAGACAAGGCAAGACATGTTAGAAGGGGAGGAAACATTATTTACCCAGCCCTGCTCAGACCTGCTCTATGAAAGAAGCAGACAACACATATTCCTGTTGCCTGGAATGTAAGGGCATCATAAAGTGTATGTATTAGCCATTTGTTCCCATCTGTGCCATGGAGTCACAGAGACCATTCCTCACAAGGGTCCTACATTGTACCCTGCATACACTGAAGGACACTGGGAAGTTCTGACAGGACAGGGGCAGGGCTGGGTTACTTAGGACAGGAAAGCTTGTACTAACCTTGCCCTTCCCACCCTCCCTGTACAGGGAGTGGTCATCGATAATGGTGCTAGACTGTGGGAAGAGAAGGGTTGTCCCAGCCCTGTGTGGTGTCTAGTCAGAGGAGAAGCTCACCCCACCAACAGGGCAGAGAGCCATCCCAGACCAGGGTCATAGATCCCAGGGAGAAGCTACTAGAAACACAGCATCGTGGGAAAACCCACCTGCACATGTAGGGGCATGCACGATTTTAGGAGTCACTGCCCTCAAAGCCCGTCTGTAGGCTCGGGATTTAAATTACCCTGCCAGAGCCAGACATGGCAGCATGCAGCTACAATCACAGCACTTGGAAGTAGAGGCAGAAAGATTAGAAGTTTAAGACCAGCCTCAGCTACATAGGGATTTTGAGGCCAGTCTAGGCTATGAGAAACCTTGTCTCAGAAAGCAAAGCTTCCGGCTAGAGAAGTGTGGTCTGTGGTTAAAAGCAATGTCTCGTCTTTCAGCTGATGGGAGTTTGGTTCTCAGCACCCATGGATGCCTAGAACTCCAGGGAGTCAACACCTTCTGGCTTTCATGGGTAATGGCATCTCTGTGCATAGACATCCACATAGACAATACATAAATAAGTAATAAATATTTTCCTAAAGACCAAAGAACCAATACACCTCTCTGGCTAGTATAAAAGCAGCCATTTCGATGTCCTCTGTAACAATGACTCCTTATTTAAAAAGACCCAGAATTTTATCCTAAAGGAAAAAGACATCTGGTTCCAAGAACATCAGAATTTGCAGTCCTCAGGCTATGCAGAGACACCGGCAGGAAGTTGTCTCACAGTTGACCAGGACACTAGACACTCAACCCAAGCCTGCATGGCCCAAACCCATGGGAACATTGTCCTGTGAGAGGAAGCCCCCAGTGACATGGAATATTCTGGTTTGATTCTTTGTAAGGCTAACAGCGGGTTACTTGTAGTGTATAACATTTGGAAGACATTTGATGAGCTAGATGGTACTAATGCAGAAATATTAATTAGGTTAAAAAATTAGACCACCAAATTGTAATATAAGCAGTAATGGTGGTACACACCTCTAATCCCAACACTTGAGAGGAGGAAGCAGGAAGTTTGCCAGATCGAGGGCAGCCTGGGTATATAGTATATAATGAGAAATGTCACAAAAAATCTTTTAAGTCTAAATTAATTTGCAAAGTAAGTTTGACATTTATTTGTAAAAGAAAAAAATGTATAAAAAGAAAGAGAAATAAATTATTATCAATTCCAAAGGTGAGTACGTAAGGGTGGCAGCCCTTGCTCCTTCTCTGCCTAGGGGGCTTTTTCACTCCACTGACTCCACCCACATCCATGTTTCCACCAGGCTGCCAGGCTCTGCGGGCTTAGAACGGGATGCTGAGTTCATGGGACTGCTCCCTCTTGCTGCTCTGGGGAGATGGCCTGCCCAGCTAGCTTCTCAGGACCATCTCCTCAGTACCCCTTCCTCCCACTCCCAAGGGTTGACATTTATGTCTTTATTTAATGAAAACAAACAGTTTTGCAACCATTGGTCCCTGACTGGGGAAACAGCCCACAAGCAATACACTAACAGCCTAGTGGGGAAAACTTTTTCATGTTAGAGACCAAAAACTCTAGTAGTTGTTTTCGTCACCTTTTCCTCTCCAGATAAAAGATACTAAAACACTACAAAGATTTCTCATCTTATTGATGGAGCCATTAAAAAGCCAAAATGCCTGTCACTCTCACCCGCAGTGCGTCAGACTAGTTCTGTCGTTACAGGGTTCCTGGTTTGACTAGCAAGGTCCCTCCAAATATTTTGGGCTGGGAGCACAGACACAGTTTGAGGCTAACAATAACAGTTACATTTTCAGTGGGCCTCATGAGACAAATAAGCTGCAGGACATATTAGATAGATTCATTAAAAATATCTCTCTCTCTCTCTCTCTCTCTCTCTCTCTCTCTCTCTCTCTCTCT